CTGGAGAACAATTACAGAACTAAAAATAGACCTGCCATTTGACCCTGCAATTCCTTTATTAGGTATTTGGTCCAGAAGACCAAAAACCACATTACAACAAAGATATTTGTATCAGAATGTTTATTGCAGCCCAATTCATAATAGCCAGGTCATGGGAGAAGCTCAAGTGTCCATCGACCCACGAATGGAACAATAAATTGTGGTATATGTACACCATGGAATACTATGCAGCCCTAAAGAAAGATGGAGACTTTACCTCCTTCATGTTTACATGGATGGAGCTGGAAAATGTTCTTCTTAGCAAAGTATCTCAAGAATGGAAGAAAAAGTATCCAATGTACACACCCCTACTATGAAACTAGTTTATAGCTTTCATATGAAAACTATAACCTAATTATAGCCTAAGAATATGGGGGGGGAGGATGAGTGGAGGGAGGGTGATTGGTGAGATCACCTCTATGGTTTATCTTACAAGGGTACAAGTGAATCTTTCTAAAAGTAGAATATAAACATCTTAACACAATAACTAAGAAAATAACATAAAGGCTATGTTAACCAGTTTGATGAAAATATTTCAAATTGTATATGAAAATACCACACTGTAGCCCATGATTGCATGAATGTGCACAGCTATCATTTAATAAAAAAATGGTAAAACAAACTCCATAAGTACTTGCTATTAAATTTGAACTGACTGATAACCACACATGTACACAGAGGAAAGTAAAACTCAGTGAAAATCCACTAGGAGGGAAGCAGGAGTAGAGGAGACAGAAAAACCTACCTATTTTGGTATAGTGAATTCTATTTGGATGATGGGAACACCTAGAGACAGGATTCAAGAATTATAAGAGGAATCCATTTTGCCTAAAACATTTGTACCCATTTTGATGTTTTAAAAAACAAGACAGACAAATGGCTAAGAAATGTGTGAAAAACACCCAACACCTTTAATCCACAGAGAGATGCAAATTAAAACCATAAAGTGATACCCCCAAATCCCTGCCACTGTGGTGGTCTGGGTCCCCACAATCATTGCTGGGGTCTGCACTGAGGGCAGTCACTGTAAGAAAAGACTCAGACTCAGCTCAGGTGAAATAACAGATGGGAGCCTGTGAAAGGAATATACCTAGTAGCATCAAGCAAGTGAAGCCGTGGCCCATTATCCCAACGGTCTCTTTACTCAGACCAAAACCATAAACCACTCTGACAACATAAAGCATAAAGTTATATTTAAGTTACTCAAAGCACAGTATCCTAAGTAAACTTTAACCATTCAAAAGGGAAACAAAAGTAGGGAAATCATGCAAGCACATCATGTGATTACATCATACACTTTACAAATTAGTGGGTAAACTTTAACTTGCTTAAGTCACTTCCATGATTCCCATCTATACCTGGTCAAGACTTAGGCTTAATCATCTTTAGTTGCTAAGCATTCCATTCTCAGCCATAAGATAGTAATCAAGCCATCTGTGGCACCTGGAGGGGCAGGGTTCTGGACTCTGGTCAAACAGGACGGACCAGACATCCTGTGTAAACCACCAGGCTATCTCTAGCCTTTAGTGGAATGTGTCAGCACCTATGGGGTTTGAGGAACCTGGACTCTGGTCAATAATCTCTCCAGAAATGCCTGGCCTAAACTACACTAGAAACCTAACTCCCACATGTCATAATGGCCATTATTCAAAAGTAAAAAGAAGTGGATAGATGCTGGCATGCATGCAAAGAACAAGATGCTTAAACATAGTCAGTGGGACTACAAATAAGTATAAGCTCTATAGAAAGCAGTATGGAAATTCCCCAAATATTAAAGGTAAAGAGAAGTCATTTTATAAAAAGGCACAGGCACTCAAATGTTTATTGTAGCACAATTCACAATTGCAAAGATGTGGAATCAATCTATGTGCCTATCAATTCATTTGTCCATAAAGAAAATATGGTATATTGAATATATATCATGAATTACTATTCAGTCATAAAAATGAATGAAATAATGTCTTTTCCACACACTTAGATAGAATGGAGACTATTGTTCTAAGTGAAGTATTTCAGAAATGGAAAACCAAACACTGTGTGTTCTCATATATCATTCAAAACCAGGAATAGGGAAAAGTGGGAGACAGAAGGAAAGACACAGGCCTATGGAGTGCAATGAATATTATTCTGATTATAGGCACACCAAAGACCTGACTCAACCATGATAGAAGGAGTCCAATTAAACAAAAACATTTGTACCTCCTTAATAATTTGACTTATTAATTTTAAAAATTAAAAGAAAAAAGGAAAATATATACTGTACAACAAAATGGAGTAGAAAGCTGCTGGGGTAATGTAGTATGGCAAAATAATTGTTGGAAATGCAATTTAATAATGACTGATTGATTTTTCAAACCATTAGTTATATTCTTTTAAAATATGTATGTACCTAATAATACTATTTCAACATAGAACTCAAAAGAAGTGAATTAATAAGTAATGACCATGTAATAAACAATTCTGACTCACTGTTTATTGCATATGTACAACAGCAAGCTTATAGAAAGATTTAAACTAGATAATTAACCATTACAAAATGCATACTCACACACACACTACACTAATACTGAATACTCACTTTTGTAACTTCTCATGAAAAATTTTCCAAGAATATTCTATAACCTCATAATTCCAGGTAAGTTAATATGAAATACAGTACTGTGCTCCCAATACAGTGCTGCTAGCTGCTTGGCCAGTGGTTATGTGTAATATAGCCTTTCATTTTCAATAATAATTAATGAAAATAAATAACACTTAAAACCAATTCCTCTATCCCACCACCACATTAGAAGAAACATAGAGACCAGTTTCAGCTTCACAATAAATACTCTAATTACAGTTTATTTAAATAGAAGTCTATAACCAAAAACTAAAAATCTGTATAATTTTTAATTCTCATATACTACTAAAGAAAGAGGCAAAAAAGACAATGTACAGTCACCATTTCTATTATATGAATTATAAGTAAAGTAGAACAAGGTTCTTTCTTGTGAAAATTTAATGCATTAAATTCATATACTATAAAAACCAAATTCAGAAATGGAATTATCTGAACACGCATAAAAAATTAAGTTGAAATTACTTTTAGTTATGTGGAAGTTAAATAGAAGAAAGAAAATAACACATAGTGTAAAATCATAAGACACAATTAGTAGAGTGGGTCAACAAGCCAGTGATATTTTTACTGAATATACTTAATAAAATTGATAAAAGATTATTTAAGAACGTATCTGATGAGGCACAAATATTTTATTTCTAGATTAATTTTAGATATTTCTTTTGGATATTACAGATAAAAAACAAGGAATGATCCATCTTATAAATATAATTTAATACCCATTTCAAATAAAATTCCCAACATACACAAATGACCAAAATATAGTAATAAAAGATACCTGAGTAAGCACTACATGTACGAAACAAATTGAGTTTCTTAAACAAACAATCCTATAAATATATTCTACAAAGTCAGATCACATCACTAATGAATAACATTTCAAATAAAACTCTTACACAAAGGCTTCCAGGAATCAAAAAAGAAATGCTTCCCAGCATAGTCTTAATAGCAAGAACTTTCAAGAGCCTAACAATGAATAAAAGCATAATGCAATCTCCCTGTGAACATGGATGAAGAAATAAATCTCACTTCTAAGATAATACATGCACTGATCTTTTTAAAGGGATGATACAGAATAACCAGGATGAATTTATCTCAGAAACACAAGACTAGTTTAACATTTACAAGGAATAAAAGTAATATAACTTATACACATTATACAGAGAAAACAAATATAATTTAAAATTCCATAAAAATACAATATTGATTTAATGCAAAATATATTATAAAAAGGGAATATTGTAATATTACTGAAATATGAGAAAGTTATGATAAAAAATTTTAAATATAATTGAAATGTTGAAATCTTCTGGTCAAAAAGAGGAAATATTACACGTATAATATACATAGAACCTTCATTGTACTTTCTCTTCATCATTGAAAAAAATATTTTTTTTTACTTTTCTTTTTTTTGAGACAGAGTCTCACTTTGTCACTCTGGTAGAGTGCTGCAGCTTTAAAAAAATTTTATGGCACCAGGGGGAAAAAGTGTGATTATAACAGATAAAATAGTAGTTTACATCAAAAATCCAGAAAATTCTATACTTGAATTACAGGATTTAATACACAAAATCAATGAAGTAGCTGGATATAAGCTCAACATGCAAACCTCAGTTGTATTTCTACAGCAAAATAAAGAAAATTTTAAAATAAGGATGCTATTACAAAAGCATAAATGGAAAATAGCTAGATTTCTCACTGACTTCAATACCAAATATACAAAATATGACAGAGGGAAATTAAAGAAAACCTAATAGGTTTCCAGAAATAGCAGGATATTGCTCGGAAAAGTCAACTTTATAAAGAGGCAGAATATTAAAATATGACAGTCCCAAACATCATCCCAGGAAAATTATTTTCAAACAATTTTTATTGAGATGTCAAGTACATTGTATACATTTGATCCATTTAGGTATATAAATAAGTAAACTTTTAGTATATTTGCAGATTCACAACTAAAATCACCTCTGAAGTTTGCAAAATTTTCATCACCCCAAAATGAAAAAATGTAATTTATGGTCACATCTTATCCCAATCTCCCCTTAGCTTTTGGCAACCACTAGTCCACTTTCTCCATGGGTTTGTCTATTCCTGATATTTCATATAAACAGATGCACATAACATGCAACTTTAACAAGGTGACATGCCACAAACACAATGCTCAGCAAATAGAGCCAGACACAAAAGAAATGATTTCCTGTTTTTTTGTGGTGTATTATACTGCAAATATTTTTCATCTTTTCATTTATAAACAAATAACAATTTATGTGGACTTATTCAATCAAAATATTATTTCCATTTCACAAAATACAAAATTCTAGAGCCGAATCCAAACTCAGGTGCTTTACTTTGAAAGCTTGTGCTTACAGATGTAAATTTTTGGAGATCCACATTCATCCAATCGAAGTCTACCTGAGGTTAGTACAACACAGTTATGTTTACCAGGTTTTGTTTTGACTATTCTGCAATAGAGAAAAATACATATTTCTGTCATACTTTATAGGGATAATCCATGAAATAAGAGTATTTTCCATGTAATTTAAGAAAATATTTTATGGATACAATTAATGACATTTTAATGCAATGTTAGTAAGAGTTGCTATTATGAAAACTGAACACAGTAGTCTCCCATATCTATAGGGGATGTGCTTCAAGACCAACAGTAAATTCCTGAAGCCACCTATTTTACTGAATTCAACGTATACTATCTTTATTCTATATACATACACTCCTGTGGTAATGTTTTATAAATTAGGTACTGCTGGGCATGATGGCTCATGCCACTAACCCCCACAATTGGGAGGCCCAGGTGCATGGATTGCCTGAGCTCACAGGTTCAAGACCAGACTGAGTCAGAGCTAGACCTCATCTCTAAAAATGGCTGGGAATTGTGGCAGGCACCTGTTAACCCAGCTACTCTGGAGGCTGAGGCAAGAGAGTCACATGAACTCAAGAGTTTTAGGTTGCTGTGAGCTATGACACCGTGTCACCCTACCAAGGGTGACAAAGTGAGACTCTGTCTCAAAAAAACACACCAAAAAAAAAAAAAATAGGTACAAGAAGGGATTGAAAACAACTAAGAGTAAGTACAACAACACACTAGCATCACTACTTTTTGCCTTTGGGTGATTATTAAGTAAAATAGGAAGTGCTTGAATGTGAGCCCTGCAGTATTACTACAACTGGTCTGCTCCCCAAAGTGCTTCTATGTGATTGATAGGTGGGTCACCTCTAGTGTGTAGATCTGCTGGTCAAATAGATGATTCAGGGCCCAGGCAAAACAGAGTAGACCCATGTGAAATTTCATCCTGCTACTGACTCAGAACAGTGAGCTCATAAAATGTTTTTTTCTCAAATGTTCATTTCAAAATATTTTGAACATGGTTCACTACATTTATCTCAAACTACAAAAAGTAAAACCATCAATAAGGGGAGCCTACTGTGGTCCATTCTTTAATATTTATGTCAACATTTCCCTAACTTTCAACATCTTCTTCATGTCTGTAATTCAATTTAAGCTTACTTACATTAGTCTGCTGTGTTTTTCCTGTTTATAATTTTCCTACTAAATAGCATCATTGAAAAAGACTTACTTCAGTTTGAAAGTTGAGCCATTTATTGACACCCATGGATGACCACTGCTCTGACGAGAGACTCCAATCCATGACCAAAGTGACAGGGAGTCCAGAAATTTCTATAGCAACATAAATATTCTATATTTAAATAATTATTAAAGATTTTACCAATTTTAAAAGTGCAAGTACTCAGTTCTTTCATTAGATCTACAATTGTCAAAACAAAATTAATATTTGAAGCAATATTAAAGTTGAAAACCACTTAATATATTACTAAAAACTTTCACAAATGTGTGTAATTCTGGCTTAAAATAAACTCTTAAAGACTTACACTCAGTAATTTCATTTTTCTGCTTTCATTTATTTTGAAAATTACAACCCATGTAATTTAATAGGAACATATGTTGCAAAACAAATATAGCATGAACTAAAATAAATTTCCAGACACTATACATAAATTTCTCCTGATGGTAATATTAAGTCCATGTATATTTCTACTATGTTTCTTTGAGTTTAGGGTTTTGAAGGGAATTGAAAGGGCTGCCATTAAGGAAATGAGAGATGTAGATGCCAAAAATACTGGTTGGTGCATACCACACAATTCTTTAACTAATTGAGTCCCCACTGTTATCTGTTTTGGTGTAAGTGGAACACAAGTGGCCCCCAAACAGGTGCTACTCTCTGCTAAATGCCATTACAAACTCTGAAATTTATGAAAGACTCAGGCAAAGGAGTCTTTGAAAGGAAGAAAGAGAAGGTGGAATGGTTTGAGACCCCAGGATCAAGGATCAACAAAGTGTCCGGGCATCTTAAGTTCCCTACTCAACAGAAGAAAGTGTCCCCAGCCTGCAGTTTCCCAGAACCCAACTTGACAATAAAAGATGCTTCAGTGAGCTAAGCTCATTTCTGGAAGAGAGATCTAACAGGAGACCCCTTCACAATAAGAAGCCAGAGGAAGAGCTGCTCTGCCACCAGGAGACACCAGAGTAGTTATAATTGAGGGGACGAACAAATGAATCCCAGGACTAGAAGTTCCCCATCCAAGAAGCCTCTATGTCATTGGTTGCATGAGACTCACATCCCCCATCCAGACACACCAGATAGAATGGATTTTAAAATGTTCTATGTGCATCATACTGTAGTGAAAGTTAACAAACTCCAGCTCACTGCATTAATATGGGTGAAGTGCACGAACATCACACAGGGTAAAGGAGACAGACATGAAAGTGCACACTGTCACTTATGAAAATTCAAACACTGGTGAAGTTTGTAATATTAACATTCAGGACAGTGGTTTGAGAAGGAGGGAGAAGGGCTACTGGGGCTAGAAACCCCTATTTGATTTTCTGATGTGTATTATAGGCGTCCATTCACTCTGTGATAAATTTGTACAATCACAATGTGTTTATATATAGTACAGTTAAATTGCAAAATTAAATTTAGAATAAAAGCGTTTATAGAAGCATCATTTTCCATGAGCAACAAGAATTGGTAATACTTAATACACATTAGCTTATGAATAGAAGTGCATAGTGAAGTCACACAACAGAATAATGTATAAACCTGTAAACAATTAAGCTAAAATATGTACAAGAATATGATGAATTCTACAAATGTAAAATTGACTGAAATAAGCTTCTACTAAAATGTTTGAAACATTTAACATCTTACCATTTCTTCTTCACTATCTATGTAAAGCAGGCTGGAGTTCTTAGAAGCACAGGCCATCAAACTCTCCTTCCAAGTTTTTAATTCCTTACCAACGTAATAACAATTGCTGGAATATGTGACCCACTCCTCTGGACAACGACCACATTGATATGCTGAAGAAAAACTATGAATTACTATCTCCACAATATGATTTTTTAATAAGATTATCAGTTTACACATTTTCAAAGATATAAAAATGTGTGTACCTGTCTTTACATCCTCATAGGCTGTAAAGAAAAGCACACATACATATGCACAGAAAAGCATCAGCCTCTCATCCCCTAATCATATTGCCATACAAAAAAACACATCAAACAAAAGCCCACCCTTCAAATATCTGAAAAATCACTTACAAAACTACTTTTCTTGGAAAAATCAAAATGATTTAACTGTTACCAAATGGCAGCAGTAGCAATTTGAGTCAAATAAGCAAAAAGAGGGTGTAATGATTTCAAATGAGTATTTATACATTTTATTGAAGATAAGAGAATGCCCCCCTATCACTTTTATCTCTGGATATTTATTATTCAATATTTCATTATCCTTAAATATATCTATGATCATTTTTGCACAGCCAAAGATCAAAACAAAATATAAAATGACTAATATCAGTACCTTTCTGAGTTCCTCTGGCCTGCGAAGAATTGCTTTGCATCTGTGCTTTTGTAGCTAGAAAAATTAGAGTAATCCTTATTAAAAATTAGTATCTAAATAAGTCACAATAATTTTAGTCTTTGAAATATGGTATGCTGCTTAGAATTATCTGTGGTAAAACTGGTTTTAGCCAGAAAAAATAAATAAGATTAAAGAAGATTTGAGGGGAAAAATCTTTTCAGAGCCTACAAAACCAAGCTTATCACTTCTGCGTACTTCATATATGGTGATACTGGAATTATTTGATTTAATCACTTTCAAATATTATTTTCTATTTCTCAGTATGCTTTCCAGACTCCTAAAATAGGTCTGTGTTATGAAATTTTAATATGTACATATAATTAAAAGCAAAGACTTTCTACAATTATTCTTTTATTTATACTTTGAAAAATTCTGAATAACCTTTCCTCATTTAGTCCAAAACATACTTAAAAATGAACATTCTATGGCTTGATCTTATGAAGTGTTTAGAAATACTTTAAATAATTCTTGCAAAACAAAACATACTTACGGGCAATGATAAGTCTGGTTACCACAGTGAACGTTAAGACAAGAGAGATGATTCCCAGAATCCCAGCAATGAGCTTCTCTGGAGGGAATGGTGAACCTGCAGGGAGAGAAATGGAAACACTGAGAAAGGAGAGACGGGGACAGTTTGTTAGAATACGTATAAGAGACCCAAGAGACCCCGGATACACAGAGAATCACCAAGCCCACACCTACCACAGGGATCTTTCTCTCAGAATATACCACTGCATTCTCAGTAAATGTTATGCTCCATGAGTTGTTGGAAAAAGACTACAGATTTCAACAACATGTGAGTAAAATTTGTCTGTATCTTTCATATTAAAATAGTATATGTCAACTCAGAACTCTGATGTTTATGAATAAAACTATGTGGGCATGCCCTGCTCTTTCTCCACACCCCTGCACCACAACTGCCCATCCTGGAGCAGTTTTACTGACGAGCTATTTAGAGCTTTACCTTTGCAGTGGTAAGATGTGTCATCCACTTGAAAATCTTGAGCTGCTCTTTGAAGGCGTAATTCCACATAGGTTATTTCTTGTTCACATTCTGAAACGGAGCTTTTAGTACCCTTAGGTTTCCTTTGCTGCTTCCTTGGTTTTGGGGGAAGATTCAGTTCAGAATAGATCACTCTTTGGTTATCCATCTCTGCAACTGTGAGATGTCAGGGACTGTGCTCTATGATACCTGGTTTTAAGAGAGTAGTAAATGGTTTATATAAGGACAAGATCCCTAGTGCAATCACAAAAGATGAGGCAGTAAGTGGATATTGGTTCTGATTTGGCTTTGAAGAATCTAAATTTCTCACTCTAAGTTCCTTAAAACTTACCCGATTGATTTAAGATAAATATTTTTGTTGTTGTTGTTGCAGTTTGGCTGAGACTGAGCTTGAACCCACCACCCTCAGCCTATGGGGCCAGT